TCTCTCTCTCTCTCTCTCTCTCTCTCTCTCTCTCTCTCTCTCTCTCTCTCTCTCTCTCTCAGCCAGTGCAGCAAGAGAGAGAAGATGGTAAAAGCAGGTGGCAAAATCTTTATGTCACCACCTTTGGGTCAGGTACATTTTATGGCAAGCTTGGGTTTGAGTGCGGGTGAGGTGATTTTGAATGTCTGTCTTTGTGCTTTGCATGTTTTTGAATGTGAATTGCAGGAAGAAACTGCTACAATGAAGGCAGAGATAGAAGAACTGCGGACGGGTGCCAAGGTCTTCCAGCTTACGCGATGCTCTCGCTGCACCGATCCTCTTCATCTCCCTGCCGTTCACTTCCTCTGTATGCATTCATTCCACCAGCAATGCCTCGGCGACAATGATCGGGAGTGCCCGCTTTGCGCTGCGTCGCATGCTACGGTGATGGAGGCCAAGAGAGGCGCATTGCAGAGTGCCAACGACCACGATTCCTTCTTTCAGCGCCTGCACAATGCTGATGACGGCTTTGCCGTCATCGCCGAGTATTTCGGCAAAGGTATGCTCACAAGGGGAAGTCAGAGGGAGGCTAGCGCTGGAGGTAGTAATTTCCCTCCAGGCTTGACCGCATCCCCCCTCCAAGCAACCCTTTCTGGTGCAAGCTCCCTTAGCCCTGCTTCTATCCTAATTTGATGAGAAAACGCAAAATGAATAATTCGGTATTAATTCCATTTATTACGATGAGTACAACCCGTGGAGATTGTCTGTGCGGAGATCGTCACTTGTCGTCGGATGTTCAAGGCACATGTGCAAAGCGGTGGGCATGAAAGGCATAACCTCACACTGATTTCTACGTCCTGTTGGTCCTCTGTATTCATTCCTAAGTTGGAAAAGGACAGTGTATGTCCTTGGTACTAATTTCTAAATAAAAACTGCCAACTCCCAAGTCCAGAGCACAAGGGATATACAAATCACTGAAATCGGTAATTTAGACGAACATAGTAAATAGTACATAGTAGTACATCATAGTACATACTACATAGTGCATAGTTCATCGTACATACATAGTACATAGTACGTAGTACAAATGTACATAGTACATAGTATATAGTAGTATATAGTACAAGTACATAGTACGTAGTACAAATGTACATAGTACATAGTATATAGTAGTATACATAGTANGTACATAGTACATAGTATATAGTAGTATATAGTACAAGTACATAGTACGTAGTACAAATGTACATAGTACATAGTATATAGTAGTATACATAGTACATGGTACGTAGTACAAATGTACATAGTACATAGTACATAGTATATAGTAGTATATAGTACAAGTACATAGTATATAGTACTATATAGTACATATGCACATAGAACATAGTACATAGTCAATAATGAGCCATATTTTGAGGAGCTCACATAGTCAATAATGAGCCATATTTTGAGGAGCTCAGATTCTGTTGATCAGCGCAAACGAGTACTTAATTTGTAACGGGCGCTGAGTTTGGGAACGAGTACAAATTAGTACTTGGTAGTTTGAAAGGAGTGCTGAGTTTGGTAATCGGCTTGAATTAGTTCTTCATTTGTAATCAGTGCTGAGTCCTGCGCACGTAGTCGATAATGAGCTTTTTTTTTGGTTTTGTTTTTTTGGGGAAAAATGCATCATCGTTCTGCTAGAGGGGGTGGAGCTAATTTTGGAGGATCAGAAATTCTGCTAACCAGCATGAATCAGCGCATTGCTTGTAATGATTGCTGAAGCGCTCATATAAGTGATTGGCCCTGGGTATTTGAGTCCTTTTAGTGATAATAATGATTAATTACCTGTTCTTGCTAGTGCTAGTCAGCCCTGACGGCGAGTTAGTCTGGGTGACGAATTAGTCCTCAGTCCTGACATTGCAGACAATGAATTTGTTCTTACCAACGAATTAGTAGCAATTGTGCTGACAGGGCCATAAGGACCTGTTTTGTGAAGAAGAAAAAAAGAAAAAAGAAAAGAAAAAAAAGTAGCAATTGTGCTGCTCCCCACCAATAGACAGGAGCCAAGGGCGGGCTACTACTGGGGGATGCTCACTCACCTCCGTTAGTATCCCTCCGTTCCCACGCCATTTTTTTTTTTTTTAATATGTAATTTAAAGAAAGTAGCAGTGTAGGCTACCAAAGTGGCCCGGGTCCACTTGCCCGGCCGGGCAAAAAAGAAATAAAAAAATAAAAAAATAAAATTATTTTTTATTTTTAAAATTTTATTTTAAATTGGTTAAAGAATTTCGATGTGACCCTGAGGCAAAAGTTGTTCAGTTTATTTTTCTGCATAGCATAGTTTTTTTTTTCAGGATTTTTGGATTTTTTTTTTTTTTTTTAATTTTTGACCGGGACCTTCCCTAGTCTTTTCACGGCCGGGCCGCCCGGGAAAATAGGGTGACCCGGGCGGCCCGGCTGGTAGCCTAGAGTGTAGCACGCCTTTTTTTTTTTTTTTTTTCGAAGCAAACGGTCCGTTGGGAACATAGGAGTAATAACGGATGGTGAAAAACTTGCTATATGATCCATCATCCCTCCTTATCCATGGCAGTTACATTCGGCGAAGTCTCTTTTTTTTTTTCAGAAACCCTATATTATTTCTTTCCAAGCCAGTCATAAAATATGCAATGATTTCTGGCACGAAATCGATGTTGTTATTTTATTGTTTGCAATTTTTTCTCACAAAATCTCTACACTCTTTTGGATGCTTGGTGGATTTCTGATAGAGAGAGAGAGAGAGAGAGAGAGAGAGAGAGAGAGAGAGAGAGAGAGAGAGAGAGAGAGAGAGAGAGAGCATCG